TTTTAGGTAAGCCTCACTCTCTTCTCAAGTGAGCAATGGTGAGAGGAAAGAAATGGTTCACGCTTCATTCATACTCTGGTTTGCATCTTCAAATTCTATTCAAGAAGCATCAAGCATAAGTTTAAAAGAGAATGAAGTTTATCGAGGGAAACTGGATCAGGATATCACAACAAAAAGAGGGATCGTCATTTCAAATTAGAGCTAAAGAGATCAATTAGAAAAGTTCAAACTCAATCTATAAGACGTTTGGCACGTGGGAGACGACTTTCACCTATGACAGTCTAAAGAACATTGTAAAAGACTTGAAAATGAAATCGTACATGAAACCTGGGAGACACCTTGTTTCTCTGGGACAGAAAGTTAGAAGGTTAACAAGGATGAAGATCATCAATTATTTGGAAAATAATCCTGGAATAATATATATATATATATATATATATATATATATATATATATATATATATATTGAAGCTTATTTCAATCCTTGTTTAGCTATGATTATTTTCGTTTATGTTTGATTTCATCAGCTTGGAGAGTAATTATACACTTTTATTGCTCAAAATAGAGTCCAACAGGGTTATAAAAACCTCGGATAATTCCACTAAGATATCTTTAACCATTTCTAAGAGACAACGGTTCAAAGCTTAATTTAAAAATGAAACAATTTTGATGTTACACGATTTGGACAATTTTGCTGTTACACGCGGTACGCTGATTTAAGGTTTATATATATTGCATAAATTTTCTATTTAGATATATTTGGTCTATGTATTGACGTTTTGGTTTTGGAGCAAGTTGTCTAAAATAATGAAGAATCATTTATATTCCCTTTGATTTATGAAAAATAAGCAGTAATATTATGACATCAGTTCTGATCAAAAAATCACAGGATATTTGATATTTAATTTGAATAGAACCATGTCAAATTCAAAAAAAATGTTTACTGTATTCTCTCCCGAAATACAAGGATTTCAGTCTTTACATTTTATAGTTTATGAACATGTGGCGCCATAAGAGGTTTAGTCAGCATTTCCTTGAGGCAATGTAGAAACAATCGATTCCCCATGACACTTCATTGTTTGTGATCATTTACGATATTGTGAGTGACCGCTAGGTTTATTTGCTTTGTCCATTCTACGAGCTAACAAAACCTCGAGGCCATAAAATCGCTTTGTTTATTCCATCTGAATCCCTCGTTATAATACGATTTCAGATTTTCCTTGAGAGAATCCCCTGGCAGAGTAAACAGAAAGGAACTTACGATTCAAATTTTATCAGTCATTTAAGACGTTTTGTTTGGATAGAACGGATAACAATGAGTCAAGGGAAATGAGGGATGGTAAGACGCGATCGTTGCTTCAAGCAACAAGAGACAAGAAGATGTCGAGACTAATGATCAACTAAATACTGACGAAACACAGCACACAAAAGAATTCGAATATATATCAGAGTAAATTGAAAGCTCTCAGCGAGAAGGGAGTAACATTATTATTTTTCTGGATTTCTGGGATGAGCATTTAGCAATGATGATTGTATTCATTGTCTTTGTCGTAATTATCAAATTACTGTCGTTATTCGCACCGCGGTTTGCTGATACGTTAAACTTACAAGAAATTTCGAAATGAAAATTTTCTTTAATCTGTGGAGGTTGATGTTTCTTGTTTACGCAGCTAGGGGTATCTTGTTTTGTAACGCTTTTTAACAACTGGTCACATATTGCTCGTCATATCGCCATTGACTGACTACATGGTCGAGGGATTGAAATCATAGTTGTTTTCTCAGTAATTTCACAAACTGTCTCTATCTGTCAGTCTATCTATCTATATATATGTCCATGTAGTCAGTGTGTACAAATTCTCGCGACCTAATCTCTGGCAAACAATATAGATTCCTTTTAGCTAGGTCTAATGCGCTAATTTGCTAACATCCATCACTGAATATGTATATCAAGCTCTTGATGATAACGGCGAAACTCGACTTGTACTTGTAGATATCTCGAAGTCGTTTGGCATTATTTGGTACGCTGGTCTTCTACGTAAGCACCAGAGCTCCGGTATTACCGGACGATTGTGTCATTTAATGAAATCGTTCCTATCAAATCCTGAAATGAAGGACGTTTTGAACTGGCTCACTTCCAGATCCCTCAAAAGTCTATCCTGGGTCCCACGCTATTTCTCAGCTTTGCGCATGAAAATTGAAGCCGTGCTTCCGGTGAGGAGAGATAATATGTATATTTATTAACACACACACACACACACACACACACACACACACACACACACACACACACACACACACACATATATATATATATATGCACGCGAAGTGACAGCACTTACATTTCCCCAGCATATTTAGATATCTTGACAGTTATACATTTCTATTTCTCTTCCCGTGCAGACATACATTTATATATATATATATATATATATATATATATATATATATATATATATATATATATATATATATATATAAAATATCAAAAAAAAAACAAATTAAGACTACAGATAATGTTCATTTCCTCCATCAAGTCATTATTTTCTGTTGTCACTGCTACTAACAACCAGAATTTATTTTTCCTGATGTTGGCCGTGTTGGTCGAAACTAGTCGAGGAATCTAACTGAAATAATAAAAGCGCGTGTATGTGTGTGCGTGTGTACTGATATATGTGAGTGAGCCATCTTTCGCTTCTCAGCAAATCATTGATGACAACCAATACGGTTTTTTGTAGGGTAAAATTTAAAGTAATCAGTTTGCTAATAAGATACTTCAACACGCTGAAAAAAATAATTTTTGTTTTAAAGATTTTACTAATGATTTTACTGTTCTTCGATCGGCCGAAACGTCATAGCGTCAACAAGAGAATAAAAAAAAAAAAAAAAAACTAACCCGGCTGTTCGAACAATTCTTCGTTCTAATTGCAGACCATTTGTTCTTTATGTTTTATTGTATGTCTCTTTGCTTAATACTTTGAATACTATTAGATCTTCTCATGTGAGAATTTAAACAATTGGAAAATTGAAAAAGAGAAAAAAAAATTACTATTTTGACTCGTGTCGATAATTAAGGGGAAATGTGTCAAAATACTAGCAATTGAAAGCCAACGAATGTACTGAAAACTGGCAAAGTCCACAGCAATTGTTTTAATCAAGTAAATCAGATGCGGTTAACGAACCAGTCGTAGTTGTTCTTGGTTTGTTTACTTTTCTTTTAAATCATTATAAAACCCGAGGAATCATCTTTGATTAACAACATGAAAGAGAAATTGGAACAAAATAAAGTCCGGGAAGGTGAAAATGTTATGCTTGGTCTGGAGGAAATATTAATTGAAAAGCAATTATTTAATTAATAATTTGTCGGCATTGATAATTAGGAATATATAATCGATAGTTTTGTGGTTGTGTCTGCAGGAGTCTACCCAGCAATTTACTTGGAACTTCTTTTCATGTTCTTATTAAATATTTCGCGAAATCGAATGTGCCGTCTGCATTTATGTCTCCTTCATTAACTTGCTTGTCCATTTTCCTGGTTTATTTTCTCATTTCGCAAGTCATATCCAACGCCACCCTTAGCACTTTCTATCTATCTATCTATCTATCTATCTATCTATCTATCTATCTATGTCAGTATGTACCTTTATATGGACCGTTGAATATGTTATGAAAACTCTTGGCCCGGCTAAAGAAACCTTCACCATTCTAATGTAATTGATCAGATTTGGGGAATTGGCTCTGTCCGAGAAGTTTTCAGCACACGTCATCTCTCTGAATTAGTCTGTTCCTCCTCTATCTGTCTGTCTGTCTATCTATCTATCTATGTATCTATATATCTATTTCAGTGTGTATCTATGAATCGACCGTTGAATATGTTATGAAAAATCTTGACCCGGAAAAATGCCCTTAAAATATCTAATATAGCTTTATTCGTCGGATTTGGGGAAAGGGTCCAGAGAACTTTTCAGTACAGGTCATCTCTCTGAATTAATCTGTTTCTATCTATCTATCTATCTATCTATCTATCTATCTATCTATCTCCGCTTTTTATATCTACCTCCATGATTGTCAATCTGTCCGTTTTCTGTTGGATAGGGAATATATACTTCCATGCAATTTAAAAATATAGTTAGCATTGTATATAAAATCTATCCGTTTAAATAATTGTTTGCTTCGGTTTGTTGTTCTACAAAAAGTAGATAAGGAAAGCGCGGAGAAAGGATAAATAATCAACTGCAAGAAGACAAGAATGCAAGGTTGTTAGCAAAAGGGACAACACAACCTGCAAATTACATATTGGAGATGCCAAAATTAAACAAGTACAATAATTTAGATATATCGAAAGTATTTTTAACATGGGACGGAAAGTACGATACGAAAATCCGGAGGTGCTTTGGCATAGCCAAAGATGCGATTCAAAAGATAAGCAGAGTATTAAGAACCAGGACAATTACAACGTTTATGTGATATCAGTCATCCTATATGACAAACTCCTCAAACGTGAAAGATACGTGAAGCAACATACATATGATTCTACAGGAATTTGCTGGGTTTTTAATAGACTGAATATGTGAGCAACGACAATTTTTTGTACATAACATCAGGAAGAGATATTTTAACTGGGCACATAATGAGAAAAGAGAGTTTGGTAAATGTGATACTCACAGGGCAGCTTGCAGAAAAGAGGAGAGGCGGAAAAAACAACGTTAGCCGTTAGTTAGATCCAGTGACAGGACCCAAAAAGTGTGAGTTCAATACCCGGTTAGGGCAGTGGAGAACTTGGTGAGGGGAATTAACAGTAGATAATTGATAACTGACATCCATTGAACATGGCACGGGGAACTAGAACTTTCTACCCCAATGAGCGAAATAAAGGGTTCGTTTGGACATCTCTGAAGAAGGCCCGAGCGTACAACGGCCGAAACGTTGTAATAAATATGGTGACAAAGATGAGGACAATAATCCGAATAATGTAAATAGTGTATTTATTTCCGAATTCTAAAATGATTTCTTTTCAATTTTCCTTACTTTCACATCTTTATTTCGACTTTCTAATTTATTGGCTTCTTATCTACGTTTTTTTTTCTTTGCTTGAGCGACTTTTTTCTCTTTTTGCCTTTTATCGTCTCTATTACCGCCATCTTTTTTTCTTATCTTTATATTGGAACCTTCCTTTCGTTTCCACCTAAACGATTTTTTTCTGTTCTTATTCCATTCGAGCATTTGATTTAATTTCTTCTTTCTTTTTAGTTATTCTAAATTTACTTATATTATTTGCATTTTTCGGACTGATATCCTCATCTTCATTACCATATTCACTAAGTTTCGGCCGTTGTACGCTCTGACCTTTTTCAGGTAATTGTAATTTCGAACTGTGCACATTATTTAGTCTACAGGGGTAGATTGTTCTAGTTCCACCTTCAATGCCTCTTTTGTATGTCTCAGTTATTTCCCTTTAACTCAACTCTCGGTGTTTTCGGTTCACTACTGCTGCCTTGAGGACACATGGCACCAGACGTTGGTCAGATCTAGTGACTTCACCCAAAGAGTTGTCAGATCAAAACTAGGCCACTGCGGTGGTGAATAAAGCACTTGGTGAGTTGACTTAAAGTGAAATAACTGAGGCATCCGGAAAAGGCATGGCACGTGGAACTAGAACAATCTACCCCGCTGGACTCAATATAGGGTTCGGCTAGAAATTCCAATCACCTGAAAAGGGTCCAGGTGTAAAACGTGCGAAACGTTGGGAATATGGCAATGCAGATGAGGATATCAATCCGAATAATGTAAATGATACAAGGAATCGTAATACCTCATCTCAGATATATAGACAGATATTCGGTCTTTAGTTATCTTCATATCTTATCAGTTTTGTTTCTTTCTTTTTATTAATTCTCTATGATTTTTCTTTAATCTTTTTGGTTTCCCTTCCTCACTTTCAAACCTTTTTCTTTTCTTTTTTTTTTCTTTTAGTTATCTCTGTCTTTTGTTTTGATATTGTTTTACATTTTCCTTTCCCACCTTTCTTTGTTTCGTTACTGTAACTTTTGCTTTACTTTTTTGTCTTTCCTTTGTTTCTTTATTTATTTATTTATTTATTTATTTATCTCCCCTTTTCTTTCTTTCTTTTTATCTATTTATTTATCTCCTATCTTTCTTTGAATGAATGAAAGAAAGAAAGAGTGAAAGGCTGTATAGAATTACTTTCCGGCACATTATTTCTTTCTGTTACTTTTCTGTATTTTACTTTCATTTTCATTCATTCATTCATTCTTTCTTTCTTTCTTTCTTTCTTTCTTTCTTATTTCTTTCTTTCTTTGTGTTCTTCCTATATGAAAATTCAATTTACTTCTTTGTAAAAAGGCTTTCTCTAATCATATTTTTTAATCATCTCATTTATTTCTTGTTGTTTTTACTCTTTCTATCAAGACATTACATTTTCATCTCTTTCGTTATTCTCCGTATTTCGAACTTCATCTTTCTTTGTTTCTTTTTCTTTGTTTCTTTTTCTTTCTTTCTTTCTTTCTTTCTTTCCTTTCTTTCTTTCTTTCTTTCTTTCTTTCTTTCTTTCCATACTTTCTTTCTTTCTTTCTTTCTTTTTTCTTTCTTTCCATACTTTCTTTCTTTATTTATTTATTTCCATACTTTCTTTCTTTCTTTCTTTCTTTCTTTCCATACTTTCTTTCTTTTTCTTTCTTTCTTTATTTATTTCCATATTTTCTTTCTTTCTTTCTTTCTTTCTTTCTTTCTTTCTTTTTCTTTCTTCCTTTCTTTCTTTCTTTCTTTCTTTTTCTTTCTTCCTTTCTTTCTTTCTTTCTTTCTTTCCATACTTTCTTTCTTTCTTTCTTTCCATACTGTCTTTCTATCAATTCAGTTCTTTGCTTCTATTTCTATTTCGTTCCTCGGCTTTCTACTCAATATATCTTCTTCATTTTTCATTTTACTTTTCTTTCTTCGTTCATTCTCTTTATCTTAAACATTTCATTGGAATTTATTTTCTTCTGTTTCCTCCATTTTGATCGTTTCCATTTCTGAAAATAATTTTTTTTTCTCCAAACTCTATACGCCATTTCCTTCCGGTACACGTAGTTTTACTTCATGGCTTCAAACTACTTGTCTTCTTTCGTTCAATAAATCAGGTTAAATCTTCGAATCTTTGTTTTGTCAACACACCTCGGTAGGATCACGATGTTCATTTTTTCACGCTGTAAACAAAGAAAGCTTAATTATGTATAAGACTGAATAGAGAAATTCGAAAAGAAAAAAAAAACGCATTGTGGGGAAGTACTAAGAAGAGTCTCGTAAGAAACAAAAGGAGGAGGTTTCGCTCCAGACGCTTTATACATTTACGTAAAAGAACTTTGAGACAATTAGAAAAAGTGAATACGCTATCCGATGTTCGACTCTCAAGGCTTAAATACTAAAGTTTTAAAACTGAAAGGAATACGATATTTCTTAAAATTATATTGATTACAGCGATAGAGTATGTAATATTATTTTTTAATAAATATAATCTCCATGATGATGTAAACAATCAAGTATTCAAAAGATTGCATTTCTTTATTATTTTGAATTTTCATCCATTCTTGGAAAATAAAATGGAAGTGTTTCCTAATGCTTCTCCAAGTTTTGCTATTCAGAGTTGCGTTGGTCTTAGAATGGTTGCCGCTGATTTCTCTCTCATCTGGTATATAATCCTTAGCTTTCTCTAGGCTTTTAGTTTCGGAGTGAACGCAAACGATTATACTTGAATTTGAACTTGGCTCTCTGACATCACTATCTGCCAGTATGCCCATTACAACAGTCTAACAATTTCATGGGTTTTGTCTTTAATCGGAATACATACAAGTATGAGACTAAGACACAGCAGGTTGCAGGGTGTAGAAGAATTAGGAAAAAAAAACATAAAAGATGAGCAGAAAGAGAAGAGAGTAATCAGGTGGACAGTAGATACCCATTGATAATGCATTTAAAGTTTTGCAGATTAAAGTTGGCTGGAAAGCATTGAGCAGGAAGGGAATTTCAAAAGCGAGAAGTGCGAGAAATAATCTGTTAGCATAAAATTTACGGTTACATCTGGCCAGGTGACCTGGAAATTGATGAGATCTCGACACCAGTCTAGTGCTGCGCTTAAATTTATAAAAACAAAAACAACAACAACAACATCATGTATCATAGCAATGAAAGTATTTATAGAAAAGGCATATAAAGGCAACCTTACGGCGGCGGGAGAGTGACTGAAGACGAGCGGTCAGATCAGGAACAATAATATTGCTGATTCTTCTTTGGATCATATCAAGGATCTCAAAGTAAATTGCAGGAGAACCAGACCATATGTGGCAGCAAATTTCTAAGCATGGACGAATGGTGCACTTATAGACATGTAATATAGATTCTGAAGCGAAAAATTGTCTCACCCGTTATAGTGAACCGACTTTCTTAGCAACTAACCTAGCAGTTACTTCAATATAGCCATTCCACTTCATATCCGCAGAGACCGTGAGCCCGAAAAGGCGCACCGTGTCACTTTCATGGAGGTTAGCATCAACCATGCTGAGGGAATATAGCGATGGGACTCTCAGTTGATAAATTTATTGAGGTTTTGTTTTGGAGGCGTTAAAATTAACAAGCCATCATTTGCTCCAGTTAACTACGGACTTGAGGTCGTTTTTGATATCGGATATCATTTTGACCTTGTCAGACTGGTAAGCCTTTCTTTAGAAGCAGGAATAAATTGTGTATGGTCAGCGTAGTTGAGAGCTGATATTTTGAAGGCCATTAATGAAAATTAAAAATAGAGTGAGACCAAGGATGGAGTCCTGGGGGACACCCGCGTTAAAACGAAATGATCTAGTGGGTAGCCGTTCAAGATATCAGAAAACCATGTATGAAATTGACCAAAGTTTATTTGAAACATATGCATGCCCGAAAGCTTGCCGTTGAAGATTCCACCAGTATGCCGTGATCCTTTCTTTCGACTAGTCATAGTTTACAATATCAGAGCGTAGTAAATAAATAAAGAGAGTAATGTGTATAGTATTTAAAGAACTTATCGATATTGGAACCATATGTAATGCTACTATTTCCGATTGATTAGATGAGATATGTCTCTATCTCAGAGAATGAATGTAATGGTTTAAAACTGAAGGAACAAAATGAAATCTGTTATAATCTATATATTCTTGACAAACTCCAATGAAGAACCAGTAGTTTTATAGCTTCAAACCTGACATCTTGGATTCAATCACTTTCCAATCGCCATAACCTAGCTTTCCTCTATAATTTCTATAAATATTTTGAGGGTAATAATTCTGATGAGATTTCCTTGTTGGTGCCTCGACATTACAAACTAAACGAAATAATAAATTGACAGCCATGTCTGATAAATCCACTGTTGAAATTGCTGGACGTAACTGCAAACTCAATGCTAATTGTAATTTCACAATTATCTGTATTTTATAGAACACTCTTTCGGTTTATTGTATCCTGTTAACTTTTCTCTTTTGTGCCATTAACGAATCACGCATTCGTAATCATGTCTGCTTTCAATTTATGATTGACTTGAGAGAAGAATTCCCGCAATAGACTGCCGTTACTTTCTGTGGCCTGTGTGGTAGCACCTGTTAGGGCCCAAGCTATGGACAAATAGTGAACACGCAAACAAAGAGAAAACAATGAAAGTATAAAAATACATTCTTATAGTAAAAATACAACCATTACATATTTATAGTAGGAGTGACAACGATACATTATATAGCAAAATACAAACAATACATTTTATCTGTATACAATTGCCTTCAATATATTTATTTAAAGTCATAAAATTCCGTCCCAAATATTTAGATTTCGGCATTAAATAACCCATAGAGGTTGATATGCCGTTAAATACCATCAAGCAACCAACTTTCTCTGCTAGACTGGTTGTTAACCATGGCTATACGATGCAGTATGTCATGGTATTTAATACATAGCTGTCAAATATGATATTCAATTATTTTAACGCGACATCAGTCTTTATCTTCTGTTCGTTTCTACCCTGTACGTTTATTGTTCTTGTAGCTTTGTGGGTTTTATCTGCTTACTAAGTTGAAATGATATTAAAAAATGGACAGATTTCAAGAGAAAAGTTAACAATGAATGTAAAGTTTGAAATATGTAGAAAAAAGGGTTAAAAAAGGGTACATTGAAGAGAGAAGAATGAAAAGGATGAAGAAAGATGAAAATAAAATGGAAAGGAACATAAAGAAGAAAATGAATGATAATTTAAAATGATGAAAGCAACAAAAGAAAACTAAAAAAAGAAAATAACGAAGGAAAAATTTGGTAACTGCTACAATGTTGGGTCTGGCATTTCTACCCGGCCGATGTCCCTAACTAGGCATACAGAACCTTCTCTAAACGAGTTTGATTGTTGTCAACATCACCATCGTGTCGCACTGAACATTCGCTCTAATTTACCGAAATGAAAATCTAGACTCTGGAAACTCAAAATCCGATACATCTTAACTCGAATTAAACACAAGGGAGCGTATCTTACACGAGATGTTTTTAACTACAATGTATCTAATCGCAGTATAGATGTTTTGTAAAGTTGAGAAACATTATACACTTGTGAATTTTACTAGTCTATTCATCTAGCCTTTGAATACATATACTTTAAATCTAACGCTAATATTAACCGCTTCCTTAAGAAGAAATATTCAGCATTTTTGTTTGTATCCCTGTCGGTTAAAATTCATAAAATATTTTTCTTGGAGCAATTTTTCAGAAAAATAAGTTTCTCACATTCATTACCTGCTATCTTTCGTTCCAGTTTTAATGGTGGGGTTCGTTGATAACGTTTCATTTGAAGTATTGTATAAAGTTAACATCAGGATCATGTTATTAGTTCCCCTTTGAGCTATATGTGCTATCCATTTTAATAGTTGCTTCTGTTGATAGTCCTCAAATAATGTATTTTCTCTTATTTGGTAGGTGTCTTTGTTTTTAATAGGTATCTCCAATTCACAAAGTTCGGAAAAGTGTAGTTTACACATAGACCCATACGTTTCACTTGCTCAAAGCAATTTTTAACGATTGATGTTAGAAAAACTTATGTTTTTGATAAGACGATAGTTTACATGGGGCTTGGGCTATTGCGCAACGTTCATTGTGATTATGTAGCGCCAGTATACAAGTGTGATTTTCGCCTTACTAGCTCAAAGTCAATTTTAACAAATTGTAAGCAGTTGGATGTAGATAACAATACAGATATTTTTCCGCGTGTTGAAAATATGTGTTCGCTAAATCTTTTTGGGAATGTGTAATATATTTCACATGGATTTTGCTAATTGCTATGTGTCTTTTGTTATTGCAGCGAACAGATGTCGACCTTATCTTACGACGCCTGCCGAGGAGAGTAACGATTATATCAACGCGGTCTTCCTCAATGTAAGTACGATTTTCTTGGTAACTAAATGTTGACTTCCTTTTATACACGCAAATTCCACAACAGCAATAGACAGCCATTCATTTGCGAACACTATGGCACTGTTAATAATCACTGCAGTGAAAAATGATAATTTTACGAATGACAAGTGAAATAATCACCTATTTACTTCTCTAAGATTACAGAAATTCTTTTATATATATATATATATATATATATATATATATATATATATATATATATATATATATCTGTGTGTGTGTGTGCATGTATGTGTGTGTGCTTGTGTGTATGCGTGCTCTAAGATACAATTTTATAGTATTCTATATTTAAAAGCGTCCAATATTATGGGCAGCGTCTCTCTCTCTCTCTGTCTGTCTCTTTCTCTCTCTCTCTCTCTCTCTCTCTATATATATATATATATATAT